TTGAAGAAAAAAATATTACCAGCAATAGTTTTTTGAAAAAAAAATATTACCAGCAATAGTTTTTTGAAAAAAAAATATTACCAGCAATACTTTTTTGAGAAAAAAAATTATTACCAGTAATACATTTTTGAAAGAAAAATATTACCAAGAGAAAAAAAAATGTTGGCTTTAAATAACCAATTTAGGTTGATATGCCATAAATCAAACCAAACTGTATCCAGATGGAGCATATATTAATTATTGCTAAGAGCATGGGTCGAGATTACATTTTGCATACAATTGTATTCTTAGATCAATGGTTAAAAATGGCTTTGAGTGAGTGAACCCTATGTGCCTTGGGGCAGACCACATTTCTTTGAATTTTGTGGACTGGCACTATAGAATCATAAAGAACTGGACTTTCAACAGCAGCAACAGATAAACTGAATATTGCAGGTAACTCAAAGAGAAAATAATAAAATAATTAAGATGTTTCTGCATTATATCAAATGAAAGGTTAGGCAGTGTAGTTGATTTTAAAGTAGTATTTTAATTTTGAAAAGACATTGTTTGATGATCAAAACACTGAAATCCAAGATCAAATCAAGACAAACTGCTTGATAATAAAAAAAACACTGTAAAATCCAGGGGGTGGGGGTGCAGAAGGAAATGTTGCAATCAAGAATTGTGCTCCAATATCAAGCAAATCTCAGCACACGTCTTTTTCGCTATCAATCCACTGCCTGTTCCCAAACTGTCTGATTCAAAAAACTATGTCCTGAAAAAAAGAATATGCCCTTATATCAGTTGCGCCCTCGCACATGCAAAAGCATCAACATATGCACTATGATGGAATTACAAATGACGACCATGATCACTACTTTGGTCTCACTTCACTACAGGCAAAAAAATAATACTGGAATGACGATAACAGCTATTGGACTTGAGAAACTTTTTTTCTTGAAAAATTGAAAAAATAAGGAAGAGAAAAGATTTTAGAAATTTCAGCCAATAGTAGTACAAACTGTTCAGTCAATAAATGCTGATTGTTTTCTTATAAGGAAACATAATATTACTATTAGCATTATAATTACCTCATAAATCTTTTTGTTTTTTTTTTTCTCAGGAATTATATTTGTCTTTTGGGGTGGCTTTTCAAGTTAACTTCATCAGAATTTGACATACAAGAATTAGATGCTTATTTTCTCTTCCTAGAAAATTTGCTTAGAGGCAAAGATAAGGGTAGCACATGACCCACATACATGTAATCCTATTCAAAAAATCATACCTCCCCTAAAAAATGTCTTTTGGGATTGGTTTCAACTTCTGGGCTTAAAAGCAAATATTTTCTCTTTTAATTAAGAAAATTTGTTGTTGATTTTTAACTTGTTCTTTTTGTCATGTTATTGCTTCATATTGCAATGTTTTTCGATTCCATGACCATTGAATTGGCAGCATCAATCAGAAAGCTAATTATCTTTTATTCCTCTTACATTTTGCCTGTTTAATGGTTGTTGAATGTAAGAACAATCATAAAATAGCAACAAAAATGAGATGAAAGAGAAACTAGCCAAAAATGAATTCTGACAATTTTGTTAGCCTTGGAAGTTCAAACAACTTGAAATGTGTCCACTGTTATAAATAGAAAACAAACACTATGGTGCTTTTAACATCAAACAATAATAATGAATGTTTCTATATGACTATCTGTTGACTGGCTTCTATGGAAACAAAGCAATCACTTATATGTAGCACAAGAAAGAGAAAGTTGTAATTTCTAGAGCACATAATGAGGAAAGAGGACTTGGGAAATTTTACACTCACAGGGCATATTGAAGTCAAGAGAGATAGAAGAAAGTATAACCTTCCTAACGAGCTTGTGTAAATGGTTGACAGAACAGGGATTAGGAAATATAGAAAAAAGACAAATGATACAAAGGACAGGAAATTGTGGAGAGCCATGATTGTCTATGTCTTGAAGGGGCCCATCATAGAAGAAGATTGTTCTGTTTACACAGGCTCTGAAGGACAGCAGTTTCAACTAGTTAGGGACTAATTCTTGATTTATCAGTTATACTGATTAACTGTCATAGAATGTAATATATAAACTTTTTTTTCACTCATAAGTTCAGTAGCTGTTATATTTCTTTCCACTATTAATGGGGGTTTCCTTCCTAACCTTTTGCTTGAAGTAGTGTGGAAGTTCAAGACTTCAAGTTATATATGTCATTCATTTTAGTTGCTGCTCTTGCTGAAAACCCTCAAATAATGTGCTTTCTCTTATTTTGAAGTAGTTTGTTTTGTTTTACATCAATTTTCCTGCTCTCCATTAGAATGTCTGACGCTCAACTGCTCAGTCTCACGTTGACTGCTGACTTGAGATGGAACAAATACATTGAGTCAATTGCTTCGTCCACCGCAAGGAAAGTTGGCTCCCTATGCCACAACAGGAAATTTTTCTCCCCAGAATCGATCCTTCAGATCTACAAATCAACAATTCGCCCTTCCATGGAGTATTGCTGCCATATATGGTCTGGAGCCCCTTCTGTTTGCCTCGGGGTTCTTGATAGTCGCCAGAGGTGGATATGCAATATAATTGGCCCTGATCTGGCATCTTATCTACAGTCACTCTCTCACAGACGCGCCGTCGCCTCCCTCTGTCTTTTTTACAAATACTTTCATGGCAATTGCTCCGAGGAGCTGCATTCGCTGGTTCCCAGACTTCATGAGTTCAAGCACCCTATGAGGCTGGCATCCCGCTCTCACCCTTTCACTGTCAAAACTCCAAAATGTAGCCGTCTCTTCTACTCCAATAGCTTCATGTCTCGTACCTCTCGCCTGTGGAACTCCCTTCCCTATTCCAGTTTCTCTGAGAGCTATAATCCCCAGCTATTCAAATGTAATGTCAATTGACATCTCCAGTTGCCTTGATCTATCCACTATCCTTCTCCTCATCCTTTCCCCTATCACTCCTATCTGATCTTGCTCCAAATCTTCTGTAACCCCTTGCATCCTAGTGGCTTCTCGCCTTGCTTCGGGTGAAAAAAAAAATATCAACCTCAATGGGTTATTTAATGCTGACAAAATTTTTTTTGCTGATAATGTTTTTCTTCAAAAATCTATTTCTGGAAATATTTTTCTTTGAAGAAATCAATAGCTGGTCATATTTTTTTTCAAAGAATGTATAACTGTTTGTATTGCTGGTATATTTTTTTTAAAGTATTGCTGGTAATAATTTTTCCTTCAAAAATTATTGCTTGTAATAATTTTTTTTATTACAAAGTATTTCTGGTGTTAAAACCTATTTTTACACAAGTTTGGGTGTTAACTATTTGCTTATAGCTGGAAACTTAACAGATGCTACCACCCTGGGTCAGGGTGGACCTGGGAACACCAGCAATTGAGAGGTGGTTCCACACTCCTCAAAGCCCTTGCTGCTGGATGTAGTTTATCATCTTACCCAGGATCATTTGAAGTAGTGTGGAAGTTCAAGTCTTCAAGTTCTATATGCCATCCATTTTAGTTGCTGCTGTTGATGAAAGTCCTCAAATAATGTGCTTTTTTTTTATTTAAAAATTTTTTTTTTTTTAATCATTTTGCCCCAAGCAAGGCAAGAATGCCACTAGTTTGCAGGAGGTTACAGAGAATGAACATGAGAGAAAAGACTGGGTATAGAAGGGTGGATTGAGGAAGGATAAAAGATGGATAGGACTCAAGAAGGCAGAAGATGGTGATTGATGTTGCATTTAAATTTTTGAAGATTATAACTATCAGGGATGCAGAAGGGAATTCGAAAGGCAGGAAGTGCAAGTAAATAAACTGTTGAAATAGAAATAGTAGTTGCATTTAGCTATTTCAACAGTAAAAGGGTGGGACCTAGATGCCAATCTAGTAGCATGCTTATTCATGTAGTTGATGTACAAGGGAAAAAAGCTCATCAGTTGCCATGAAAACATCTGTAGAAAAGATTTGGTCCAGTTCTTTAATTGTGATTCTGTAGCACCACTCTAAAAAAATTCAAAGAAGGATGGACTTTGCAACTAAGAGATTTTACCAGTATATAATGTGATGTGATACAGTGTAAGAAGAATGCATGGTTGTTAGCAAAAGGGAGAGCCTAACATGCAAATTACACATTGGACATACTGAAACTGGTACAACAATATTTGGGAAGTGCCATTGTGCATTGGGACAATGAAAGATGCCTTCCAAAAGCTAAGCAAAGTATTAACAGAGAAATATCATTGGAAACAAAGAAACAAGTACTGAACCGTTATGTAATATCAGTCCTCGTATATGGTACTGAATGCTGGGCAATTTCCTCTGAGATGAAGCAGAGACTTCAACCGACAGAAATGTAGCTCTACAGAAGGATGCTGAGAATACTATAGCTGGAATATGTGAGTAACGACAAAGTTCTAGAGGTAATGGCAACAAAGATGACAGTTCTAGTTAACATCATGAAGAGATAGTTGAATTTTCAGAGGTAATTAATAAGGAAAAGTGGGCTTGAAAATTTTGGTATTCACAAGAAAGACAGAGGAAAGCATTGCATGAGTTTAAGTGAATGGATGCTGGATAGATGGCAAAAAGTCAAAAATTATTAAGAGCTACAAAGAATAGGAAATTGTGAGAGCCATGATCACCAACATTCTGAAGAGACACAACACATAGAAGAAGAAGAATGATCTTGAGTGAATGGATGGCAGAGCAAGGTTTAGGAGAGATAAGAAAAAAACAACATTTATTAAGAGCTACAAAGAATAGGAAGTTGTAGAGAGCCATGATCACCAACATTCTGAAGGGACACAGTACATAGAAGAATAATAATGAGCTTGGATGAATGGATGGTGGAGCAGGAGTTTGGAGAGATGTCAAAAAGACAAAAGTTATTAAGAGCTACAAAGGATAGCAAATTGTGGAGAGCCTTGTTCATCAATGTTTTGAAGGGGCATATCACATAGAAGATGATTGCTATAATGATTTTAAATACATAATATTGTTTTTCTTTGTCTCTACAGGTTGTTCAAGTCATAAGAGATGACATTTTGCCTTATGCTGGTACCATGCCAAAAGATTTCATTATGAAGATTATGGATATTCTAAACAAGGGCTCCATTCACTCGGCCACTTCAGACACATTCATTGGTAAGCTTTTGCTTTCTTTTTTTATCTACTTACATATCGCTTGATTCTGATATCTTTTGGTCTTAGAGCAGGAGACAAAAATTGGAAATAAGATATTTTATTTTTATCCTCTTTTTAAAGGAATATCGATTAAATACAGTTGGACCATGGTACATAGGTTGAAAAAAAATGTTGCAATTTGCAAATATGAACCATTTAAGAATCTATATTCTTCCATTAATCCATCCATCTAAAATAGCTAGACATTGGGTGATGAAAACCAAATTTGGTGAAGTGCAAACAGGTAATGAGATAAAAAGTACAGTTGGTTTTACTTGAGTGCATAGCTTAGTACAATAAATTTTCATTTTTTTTTTTTTTTGAAAAATTAAGTATTTTATTATTTAACAAACAAAATACTCCCACTATTTTAAAAATAGTTTATTGATCAAAATAACAAATACTTAATAAAAACACAATATCATTTTTTGCATATCTTTTCTTTGAGTTTATATATATATATATATTTAATTCTGGTAAAATATAATGCACAGTACTAGCACTGTAAAGATAAACACAGTAGCGAGAGTAGGGTTTGTAAATCTCAACAAAAAAATGTTTGCAATAACTTCAACAATACTAAATACTGTAAGGATTTCAACACACATTTGTTAGTCTATATTTCTGAGATGAGGTATTATGTACATTATTTACATTATTCGGACTATTGTCCTCATCTTTGTTGCCATATTTATCACAATGTTTTGGCCATTGTGCACTCTGGTCTTCTTCAGGTGGTTGGAATGTCGAAATGAACCCTTTATTTCGCTCACTGGGGTAGACTGTTCTAGTTCCACGTGCCCTGTTTAATGGATGTCAGTTATCAGTTATCTCCTGTTAATTTCTCTCTGAAAGTTCTTCACTGCCTTAACTGGGTATTGAACTCACACTCTTTGGGTTCTGTCACTGGATCTAACCAACACCTTTATCCACTGTGCCATAGTGTGAGTTCAATACCTTCTTAAGGCAGTGGAGAACTTTGAGAGGGGAATTAACAGGAGATAACTGACATCCATTAAACATGGCGCGTGAAACTAGAACAGTCTATCCCAGTGAGCAAAGGGTTCAGTTCGAAATTTCAACCACCTGAAGAAGGCTGGAGTGTACAACGGCCGAAACGTTGGGATAAATATGGCGACAAAGATGAGGACAATAGTCCGAATAATGTAAATAATGTACACATTAGTTAGTTACAAAAAAATTCTATATCTGTCTATATTTCTGAGATAAGGTATTATGTACACTATTTACATTATTCGAACTATTTTCCTCATCTTTGTCACCTCAAGGACCCAGGGTACAGTGGATGAAGGTGTTAGTTAGATCCAGTGACAGAACCCAAAGAGTGTGAGTTCAATACCCGGTTAAGGCAGTGGAGAACTTTCAGAGGGAAATTAGCAGGAGATAACTGATAACTGACATCCATTAGACATGGCACATGGAACTAGAACAGTCTACCCGAGTGAGCGAAATAAAAGGTTCAGTTCAACATTCCAACCACCTGAAGAAGGCCGGAGCATACATTGGTTGAAACGTAATAAATATGGCAACAAAGATGATAGTCCGAATAATGTAAATAGTAAAAAATTTCTTGTGTTTACAACTTTTAATCTGGAAATCAACATCCTCAGTTTATAAAAATAATTAAAATTTAAAAAAAAAAATTGTTTTTTTTCTTAATTATGCTAAAAATGAAATCTTTAAAATTTTGTAAAAAAAAAATTTGTTGAAAAAATAATTATTTATTTATTTTTATTCTGCACACAGTTTACATTAAGTAGTATTAGATATAATAGTGTATTTTTTAATTCTATGTCTCATAAGGATGTAAGCAATCATGATTTATGAGATACTTATCTGTGAATGACTAAGACTTAGTAAGCATTATTAGTTTCTCTGTTGCCTTTTCCAGTTATTGTTTTTCTCATAGACTGGCTGTTAGCCAAGACTAATTACTCTCTACACTGTTTATTTGACATTAAGTCATATTAGCTATAACTGTGTATTACTGAATGCTATGTCTGTTCAGGATACAGGCTATCATGGCTCTATCACAGATACTTATTTGTGGATTATCAGAATGTCTTGGCAATGATTGGTTTCCATATTGTCTTTTACAGTGTTTAGAATTGTTGTCTTTCTCACAGACTGGCTGACTACATTCCTTAGTTCCAACCTTCATGGCTTCATTCCCTTCGTATTCCATTTGTGTGATGTAAGTTCCACTTGAGTAGGTGTCTTCCTGTGAACTGCTGTACTCTGGATGTTTTCTCAATTGCTACAATCTTAACTTGCTCAAGTCTAGTATTAATTGTTATCTTCCCCACATGTCTGCATAAACTGTGCCTCTTACTCTAGCCCACTACCTTGAGTGGCAAGTGGTCTACCGCAGAAAGAAATGGCAACCTACTGCGGGAAAAATCTGCCTCGTCAGTCATGTATCTAAGGATATATGATCGCATAAGCGTGTATCACACATGTCACATAACTAACTGATTATATAATTATTGTTAAATTATATTGCCTCTCTGGCCAAAGTGTCAACTGTTCGTGTGACATAACATTGTATCTAATTCTGTCTACAACAGACCTTTTTGTATATGTTGGATATGAATTTGTATCAACATTGAATTTATTGCCGGCTCGGATTGAGGAATCGGAGAGTTTGAGTTCTAGTCCATTACATTCACTTACGTGCTAATACCCTTTGGAAAGGTATGAATCCTCTTCTTCTCCCTCCAGCTATGGGTAAATAGCAGAACAGACCAGGTTCTATAGCCTTGGATGGCAACTAGACTAGCGCAGAAAAAAAAATGGCAACCTACTGTGGGAAAAAATCTGCCTCGTCAGTCATGTATCAAAAGATACATGATCGCCTAAGCATGTATCACATATGACACATATCTGGTTGACTGCTGTTAGGTTAATGAGTACCAAAGGTTTCCTTATAAGGAAACATTTAATCCCACCATTACTATTCGGCATTGAAAGTGTTAAGGTTAACTTTTTTTTTCTTGTTGCAGACACAGAGTCAAGTCGAAAGTTGCGTGAAGAATTTGCAAAAGGATGTTTTGAAACTTTGTTGCAGTTTTCATTCATTACCCGCAGTGCAAATGAAGGTTCGTTGACCAAAATGGCCGTGCAGTCTTTGTTGCAAAGATGCCAAGAAGTGGTAAAGAATTATGTGGAAGATGAACGGTTGAGTGGAAAGTGTCCATTACCCAGGTAAGTGCCTCCAATCTTGAGTCCATTTCTTCTTTCAATATCCTCTCCTCTTCAATAAAAGTTGTATATATCATTTTAGATCAATAAGCCTGACACAACAGCTGAATTTTTAAATGTTGGAATAAATGTATTGACAAAGGCGAATTTATACTCAAAAACCAAAAATGGAATACTGCTGTCATATCTGGGCTGGAGCTGCCAACTCTTCACTTTCTTGATAGAGTCCAAAAGTATCTATGCAGCCTTGGGGGTGATGAATTATTTCCCTCCCTATAACCCTTTTCTCACAGATGAAATATTACAAACCTCTCACTACTATATCACTAGTTTTGTAGAAAATATCCAAATGAGCTACAGTCTTTGGTTCCCCCCGCCATCTCTAGCCATCCGGGCTGCAGTCCTTGGTTCCACACCCCCCCAACCCTCAACTCTAGCCATCCGGGCTGCAGTCCTTGGTTCCCTCCCTAACCCTCAACTCTAGCCATCCAGGCTGCAGTCCTTGGTTCCAACCCCCCAACCCTCAAGCCATCCGGGCTGCAGTCCTTGGTTCCACACCCCCCAACCCTCAACTCTAGCCATCCGGCTGCAGTCCTTGGTTCCAAACAACTCTAGCCATCCGGGCTGCAGTCCTTGGTTCCACACACCCCCCACCCTCAACTCTAGCCATCCGGGCTGCAGTCCTTGATCCCCCCCTCAACTCTAGCCATCCGGGCTGCAGTCCTTGGTCCCACACACCCCCCCCCACCTGCAACTCTAGCCATCCGAGCTGCAGTCCTTGGTTCTACCCCCCCCTCAACTCTAGCCATCCGGGCTGCAGTCCTTGGTTCCACCCCCCTCCAACTCTAGCCATCCAGGCTGCAGTCCTTGGTTCCAACCCCCAACTCTAGCCATCCGGGCTGCAGTCCTTGGTTCTCCCCCCCCACACACACACACACCAAGCCTCAACTCTAGCCATCTGGGCTGCAGTCCTTGGTTCCACACCCCCACCCCCACCCCTCAACTCTAGCCATCCGGGCTGCAGTCCTTGGTTACAACTCTAGCCATCAGGGCTGCAGTCCTTGGTTCCACCCACCCACCTCAACTCTAGCCATCTGGGCTACAGTTTTTCTTGTATGTCTGATTGTACTTTTAGGATTGTTTTGCTGTACAGGTCAAATAAATCTTTTACTCTCTTTGTATTTTTGTCTATTAACTAAACCTTGTCTCTATCCATATTTTATTTGGTTGTTCAAACTATTACTAGAATATATTTCCTATGTAAATCAAGCTTTTCTGATAGTTCAAGTAGTTCTTCATGTAATAATTAAGACTTTGTTATTAAATTGATGCACCTACAATTATGTTCAGAGTATCTCTACCACCTACTGTATTTTCTTGTGTATGAGTTTTAATATGACCTTGTATTTCTGATGCTAAAACAGAATAATTTACATTATTGTATATCATATATTTTCTGTTTGATAGGACTATATTATACATCTATACATTAATAAGCTATGAAAATGAAAAAAAAAATATTGGCTTTCATTAAGAATGAAGAGAGAAAACTTTATAAAAAACAAGTAAATCAAATATAAAAAAACTTTATCTTTTAAATAACAATCATTACTGTTTGCATTTTTGCACAAGAGTGGAGACATTTAAAAATATTTCTGATTTTCTCATTAGTATTCATTGCCATTTCACTTTCTATCTAAAATGACTTCCGCTATTTTAAGATCTTTTATCCGGTCATATTGTTAGAAAGACAATTTCTACAATGAGCTGATGTCTTCAATTAGCAGATTTTGTTTTATTTGCCCTGAAGCATTCAAGATTCAAACAATAATATATTGCTTGCCTCAGGCAAGTTCTGTCTAGCCTTGTCCATAAATGGTTTGGTGTAAATTGTTTTACAACTACTTCCAGACTCTTGGCTTTAAGTTCTGATTTCACAAAAAAAAAAAAAAAAAATAGAAAGCTGTTTTGAGTTGCTTGTAAAATCTTTGTTATTTTCTTTTCTTTTTTCTCTTTTCAAGGCCACGTTTAGCAGAAATTGCTTCAGTTTTAAAAGCCATAACAACATTACTGTTGTCATTAAAGAAAGCATCACCCATCAATGGTAAGTTGTTTTTTTTTTTGTTTTTTTTTAGGAGTGGTTGGCTTAAGGTAGAAGTCAATGTAAGTTTTTGTGTTTAGTCACACCATTTTAAAGCAAAGTAAGGTATTGTTATTTTATGTAGAAATTAACTTTGATGAATTTCTTTCAAGTTTTTGTAACAAATTTAAAAACATTAAAAAAATCAGATCACTAAGTATGAATGTAGATCTCATACATTAAATTGCAAATCAAAATTGCTTTATTTTTAAAGTTAGCACAATGTTGTTAAAATGCCCAGACAAACATCTTGCTAGAATTTCTCATGTTATGGTGACAAACCACAACTCCAAACAAAAATTGGAGACATTATTTAGATTATTGGGACTATTGTCCTCATCTTTGTCGTCATATTTATTATGTTTCTTCAGGTGGTTGGAATGTCGAATTGAACCCTTTTCGCTCACTAGGGTAGACTGTTCTAGTTACATGTGTGTTATAAAATAAGACATATCTCAGCTGATTTGCAGGCAAATATCGTCGTTTACGCATAAGCCCGACGCACGAGTTCCGGTCGAAAAATAAAATAATATTTTAAAGTGTTTCTATTTTTCAACCAATAAAAATGCTTCACTCCTAATTATACTCGCGTCGTTTTTCGAGCATGTTAAGCTATAAAAAACGCCATAAAAGGGGTCACACGGGGAAGTACAACAGCAGTCAACAGAAAGCCAAGGAAGAGACCTGTCACGGTCAGGCTGAGCGGTCGGCAGCAGTCAGCAGGAGAAGCGCCACGCCAACCAGTGAGAACTACTATGAGAGATCAACCCAGATCGGAAGCCAGCTTATGAACTATACCACAAGGTAGCTGTCCCAAACCCACACGTTCCTGTTGAAATAAACGCTTGTCTATAACATGTGCCATGTTTAATGGATGTCAGTTATCAGTTATCTCCTGTTAATTGATCCACTACATGGCACAGTGGATAAAGGCATTAGTTAGATCCAGTGACAGGACCCAAAGAATATGAGTTCAATACCTGGTTAAGGCAGTGGAGAACTTTCAAAGGGAAATTAACAGAAGATAACTGATATACAACATGACATGTGGAACTAGAACAGTCTACCCGAGTGAGTGAAATAAAAGGTTCAGTTCGACGTTCCAACCACCTGAAGAAGGCCAGAGTGTACAACGGCCGAAACGTTGTAATAAATATGGCGACAAAGATTAGGACAATAGTCCCAATATTGTACATAATACCCCATCTCAGAAATATAGACAAAAATTGGGGAATTATAATACAGATATTACATTTTATTCTTTTTATTTGTACGCAATTTTTAGAGCAATAACAGGTTATGGTTTTCACTAGAAATTGAATGATTTTTAAAAAAAAATAAGAATTTACAAATATTCAAAAATTAGATCTCTACTATAGGGGCAAGCATGAATGTAGATGATACACTTTAAGTTGAAAATTGAGAGAGCTTTTTTTTTTCTTTTTGCAGTGGAGCCAACTGTGTGGCATCAAGTGATTCATCTGTATCCGTCTCTGGTTGAATGCACAACATCCTCATCTCCTCAGGTTTGTAAGGCCCTTAAGGAAGCCTTACATGAATACAAAGATCTCCTGGCTCCACCCATGCCCCAAAACAATCAAAGTTGAACTGTTGTTAAGGGTAACATGTGGGCACAGAGTCTTAGGCCTGAGTAATGGCTGATACTGGATACTGTGATGATTGTAGAGAGAGGGAAAAAAAAAATAATGTAGGGATGTGAGTGGACAGTTTAGATGATAAAAACAAGAATGAATAATGGCGGGAGATTTGAATCGGATGACAAATAACAAAACCATTGAAAGTAAAGGTACCCTGACCCCCAACCTTAATTTAAACTATTCTACCTAACTGTAACCCCCCCTCCTCCTCTACCCCAGTGTCTGTATATACACATAAAATAATTAAGGTAATGTCTGCATTTGCTTGGGAGGGTGGGTGAGGAAATCAGTAATGTTAAAAATTTACCTTGCTTCCAATTGTAACTGCATCAAAATATTATCTTTACAAGATAAAGAAGAATTGTTGTTACTATAAAGTTGACTTCAAGAAATATGATGAAATTATTATTATTTTTTATTTTTTTTTTTTTTAATAAATTTTACGAGCTGTTGTGTAAAAGTTCTCAGAGTAGCCTGCCTCCCAAAATCTGACAAGCTTTTTTTTTCAGAGGACGGAGGAAGGGCTTCTTTTTTTTAGCGCTGAGGACTTTGCACTAACTTATCATAGTAAATTTATTTCCTGTTATAGTAATGTTTTTAGGATTAAAATTTAAAAAAACAATATTGAAAATTGTTAAGTACTGAAAACAGAGACATTTTAAAAAAAAAAAAAAAACAATAATTCAATCCCCAATCTTTGCCCAGGAAAAAAAAAATATGTGCACCTGTGCTTTTCATATAGGTACATGTAAAGGCACATCTGCTTTCATATATATATATATATATATATATATATATATATATGTCTTTGTTAATAATTTGTGATTAAATCTACACCCAGTTGTTTGTTTAAAAGCAATTAATTTAAAAAGAAATTATTAATCTTAAAAATGAAGGACATTGGTCAACTAATTTTTTTTTTTATGTTTGCTGCTTTACTTTTTATGTTTCTTTCAAGAAATTCAATGAAGAAAAATAAAAAGGGGGAGGCATATTCATGATGTAATTAAAATTAATTTTCTTAAAAAGGTGTTTTCTTTTTTAAATCCTTACCTGACCTTCCCAGAAAGGAAAAAATAAAAAAAATCCTTACCTGAACTTTCCAGAAAGGGGAAAAAAATAAAATAAAAAATTACAAATTTCTTTCCTATATACTTCCTTTAAAAAAAAAAAAAAAATTTGTAAAATGTGAGGTGGGTGTCAAAAGTGCAAACCTCTGCCTCACCCCTCCTGCTCATCTGTTTTTCTGTTTTGCTAATTTTTTTTTCCTTCCACTGTACACGATCTTAACTGGGCCTGGACTTTTTTTTTGTGTTTAACTTTTGAAATCATCTCAAATAATTTTGGCTTTTTTATCCAAAGCTGATATCTACTAATCACATTGCAGATTTAGAACATAACTTAAAAAAAAAATATGTAATTAAAAATCAATAAATGATTAACAATTGATTTAATTGAGTTATTATTTGTTGCTCAGGTTTGTCTGGAACAGCATCTCCTTAAATTCAAAAAGCTGCCCTTTTGGAAGGAAGGGCCAAATGCTCTTCGGGAGTCAGATAGGGATCCTGTATCATGAGGCAATGGAGAGAGAAATGAAAGAAACTCATTTGCTGTAGAAAGAAAAGAAAAATAAATAAAAAAAACATTTGCACAAGGTCTGTATGTACGAAGATATATGAATTATGGCTGAGTGGTTACAGCATTTGCATACTGGTCACAAGACCTAGGTTCAAATCTTAGCATAAGTGATTTATTGATAATATCAGGCCATGTAAATAGTCCTAAGCACTTTCCAAAATTGCTACATCCCATATGACAGAGGGTTCACTCAGCGGCTACTTGTGTTAGGTTACGGTGGCCCTGCTCAGCGGCTACTTGTGTCGGGTTACGGTGGCCCCGCTCAGCGGCTAATCATGTCAGATTAAGGTGGCCTCATTCATTGACTGACCATGTCAAATTATGCACTCTTTCTCAGAAACTAACATTATATACATACAAAGTTTCACCTCAACTTAACATCGCCCTGTCAGCTGGGGCTGTAGAATACACCGACTGCACATTTGCAATGGGGTGTCCTGGGATAACGATAAACTACACCTGAGTCCTGGGTAAGACGATAAACTACGTCCAACAGCAAGGTCTCTGATCAGGAGGTTTTGTGGAGCATAGAACCACCTCTTAATTGCTGGTGTTCCCAGATCCACCCTGACACAGGGTGGTAGCACCTGTTAGGGTCACTGCTATGGGCAAATAGTTAACCCTGAAACTGAGGTAAAAAGCATTATAAAAGTGTAAAAATAGGTTTTAATACCAGAAATAGTTTGTAAAAAAATTATTACCAAAAAATAATATTACCAGCTATACGTTTTTGAAAAAATATTACTAGCTATACATTTTTGAGGAAAAAAATAACAGAAATAGATTTTTAACAAAGCAAAAATACTACCAGGAAATAAAAAAAGTTGTCAGCATTAAATGACCCATTGAGGTGTTGATATGCCATAAAACAAAACAAAGTAAACCAAACCTCAACTTAACAAATATTAGTGTAGTTACATCTCATTTTACAGTTGAAATGGTTATCATGAATATAAAATATCAGATCCTTTGACTTTAGTGGCTTTATTGCCTTTCTTTGGTGTGAAATGTTTTTATTTATTTTTTTTTTCTAAAAAAAAAAAAAAAGAAGGATTCCAAACATAATTCTGATGTTTGGTCATTTTGTCACTTCTTGTTTGTGTGTCAAATGACAGACTCCATTTCAAAATAGTCAATAAAATGCTAAGGTAGGGCAGGTGGTTCCCCCCCCCCACACCAGCATCACCTCCCTTAAAATAGTTTCTAATGTGTTTCTCTTTTTAAAAACAAGAACCTGTTTATAGTTCTTTATAAGAATAATCACAGGTTACTGCAACATTAACACCTGAAAAACAGAAACATTTATTTTTGCAGCCTTGCAAATTGAAGTGAATCCCATGTGAACATGTTCCCTCAAAAATGTCCAATTTTGGTTCCCTTGATTCATTGGATGAAATTAAATTTAAATACTATTTTTGACATGTGTTTCTCTTCAAATTTATTAGATTTATACAATTCCTTCCAATTGTGGCACATCTTTAATGAATTTTGTGCATGTGTTTGCCAATGCCCATTTATTGTAGGATTTATTTTAAAAACATGTTCCAAGAATGTTTTCAGTAGAAGCATTATCACTTCACAAAATGCATATCTTCAAAAAGGGAGCACTTTGAAGGTGAATAATGTCCAGGTAAGCAAACCTTGTTTTCACATGACCATTCTGGTAAGTACCACAACTTGTATGTGTATGTCTATATACCATTTTGGAATCAGGTCAACTCTGTGAGCAAATTAAAAACATTCCAGGCTGGATCTGGACTTGCAATCCTGAAATTTTGGATTCCCAAGTTTTCATTACTACAATTGTTTTCAGCAATTTTTGTACATAATTTTTTGCGGCAAATTTTTTGTACGATAATTTTTACAACTTGGAAATAAATTTGAGAATAACATTAATTGAAAGTGAAATTCACTTATGAAATAAACATAACTGTTTGTATGGACAGTTAGGACCTACATACATCAAACTGTTTTTAAATTAAGTGGCAGCCGAAGAATTATTGTTGAACCTTTTAAAAGGTAAGCTTAAATATTAATGCAATACTTAAATGCAGTGATCAATTTTGAGTTTTTCTGTATTTTATTGTTGCCTATCGCATCTACTCTTCCCTACCTATTGTGATGAAGGCCCAATCAAGAGTCCTCTGCAGGAGCTAGCTTAAATGGTGCCTAATAAGATATTAAGTATCTCTCTCTCTCTCTCTCATATATATATATATATATATATATATATATATATATATATATGTGTGTGTGTGTGTGTGTGAAAAGTATATATATATATATATATATATATATATATAATTATTTATATATTAAACATCACCATATAAATTAACCAATAAGGATTACAAATTTCTACCTGTTACATATACACAGTCACCAAAAACAAATAACCAGCTTTAAATAAATATAAATAATAATAATTTTTACCTATCATAATTTTACACAAACCCCACCACACGTATATACATACATGCGAGGAAATATTATTCAGTGGAAAAATAAATAATATGACATGTATACATTCACGAGACATTTCTGCCACACTTCCAATTTTTAAATTTCAACATACAAATGCGTATGTATAGACACAACACCACCCGTATACATACATATGTCATATCCAAAACTGCCCACATATGTTTATATATGTATGAGTCCCGATGGACGACCAAGTATGTATATGTATCTGCATACATTGATGTTTGTGTTAGTACGATGACATAAGCGACGAAGTTTCCCCCACCACTTCCACAATAACACCAATACACGCAATCTACATAAACCCAAATTTTAAAAAAATTAATCAGTTTGTCTGACGATCGCTAAAGCGTGAAACCCAGGGTCACAAACTCACATCTATCCAGCCATATATATATGTATATATATATATATATATATATATATATATAATATATTTAAAATATTTAAAAAAAAAAAAAAGAAAAAGCCGCAAACGTTTCTGGTTATAATACGGATTTGTTTTAGTGTATATATTGCATTTTATTCTTCATAATAGGAAGAATGAAATATAATATATACACTAAAACAAATCTACATTATAACCATGGTTTCTCTCTGTTTTTTAAATATATATTTTTCTCTTGTTGAAGCAATTATAACTTTTCCCAAATAAAAATACATACATACATACATACATATATATATATATATATATATATATATATATATATATATATATATATATATATATATATATTCTAAAAAAAAATGTATACACTTCAGGAAAGGAAAAACTTGTCTTTCATTGTTTTATCAAGATGCAATGACACTGTTTACTGCAGTAT